ATTTAAGACCTCCCATTCCACAAACCTTCCTCCCCACAAACTCCTAACCATCCCATCAGAAATAGATGCCAACTTGGTTTCTTGCAAACAAATAACCTGGGCTCCTCACTTCCTTAAAGCTACCTTTACCACCCTCCTTTTGTCCGAATCGTTGAGACCACGAACATTCCAAGTAATGATTCGTAGCTTTATTAAGAACTAGATAAGATTATCTCCCCTCCTCCCTTCCTTATACTCCTACTTCTAGTCCTTCCCCTCTCCCTCACCGCCCCTCTCTTCCCTTTATAATTGACATAAGAGATAAGATTCTTGACCTCCTGTTCCCCTTTCCAGGACGATAAAGGCCTCGTGTTCACAACCTCGTTAGTCACTGCAACCTCTCTTCCTTCCACTGTTGCATGAAAAATGGATAATGTCTGGTTGTTGTTACCCTCTGATGAGACACCCAATAGCTCACTAGTAACTCCTATATTTGCGACTACCCAATCCTTTCCCATATTAGCAGTCGTTCCAGAGCAACCAGGTCGCACAATAGCCAATGGTTCCTCCACTACCAAGTCATAATGATCAGTCTCCAAGGGACAAACTCATTAGAACAAACTTGTTGAATGGAAACCAGGTCATCAATCACCTCCTCTTCACTATCTCTTTCATTCACAGGCGGCTTTATCATCGTATTCGAATCTGTAGTATAGTCGCCCATTCCATTACTTAAGAATCTGATAGACTCATTCTCCTTTACGCTTGCAGGTGGCAAACAATTAAGGCCTTTCAAAGCTACACATAGGCAGAGCTCTTTGAGCAGAGCCAAAGCCAAATCATTAGACAGCTGAAAATGGAGATCGCACCCCACACATACCGTAACCCCCTCAGGCGAGTCCTTAACTGCACAATCAGCTGGGTCAGTATGCCCAGAGATAACAGGCCCGTAGGCAGCCTGTCCTTCAGCAATCAAACCGGGCTCAACTTCAGGTGCTGAAGGCACAATTGATAACACAGCTCTTCTCCGTTGCCGTCTTAACATCATTCCTCAACACCCCACAAGAAGTAGAAGAAGAAGGAGCAGTTTGAGAACTCCGAGGGTGAAAAGCAGAGGACATACTTGGGTCGTTAATAGAAGGAGTGCGAGTCCTTTTCTGTTTATCTTTTCTAGATCATCTATTACCATGGCTATGCCTATGAAAGTCCCGAGATGAAAAACTATAGAGTCTTCCCTTCGGCAATGCAGTGATGGGAAAAGACGCTTCTGATGTATCAACATAGCACTGAGTATGACAAAAAATCTTCTCATCTATGCTTACACCAGCCTCGTCTACGCTAAGTTTCATCCATCACCTCTTCTCCGGCGTGGTCCATAAGCTATTTGTAGAAGAGCCGTGAAGAAAACGACGCTGTGGATGTTCAATATTGCTGGGTTCTATAATAATAGATGGGTTGTGCTTGGTGTTTAGAAAAGAAACGGAAATCAGGTTATTGGGCCTCAAGTAACCTTTCTTTTTAAATCTGTAAACTCTTGTGGTCGATTACACAACTTATCTAAAAAGTCATCGTGGCTGGGCTTGGGCAAAGTCTGTGGGTTGGGCTTGTCATTTAGAAAGGAGATGGATAATTGGTTGCTAGGCCCCTACGTAACAGTCCTCTTAAAATCCTTAGTAGCCTGTGGCCCATGACGTACTAACAGCCCATTATCCATAGGCTTAGCAGGCCGAGAACTCAAATCAAGCCCAGACTTAAGGCCCATCAGAGACCATTGCTTGAGAGGCGCCTATGATGCCACGTACTCGTCCACGTGGTTGGTATCCATTAAGGCGATCATAACGAAGATTTGAAGGGCGTTATGCGTATATCTCATGGGTTTGCTTTCCCCACTCGCGATCGGCGCGTTGACAAACACTCGTCTCTGTCCTTGGGGGCCGAGATGGATCTGCAATTGTTGGCGACGTCCACCAATGTTCATTTCAACAGGCATGAGGTGGGAACCCTCACCAACACCATAATAGGACTTCAGAAGGATACAAGGTGAATTTTCCTCCATCAAGTTGACCTTAAAGGCCACTCGCTGGTCTTCAACGAAGACAAACTCCGGCATTGCACCTCCAGCAGAAACATAGAGAAGAACTCTCACCTCTCACCAAATCATCTGCCTCCACACCTCTGAATCCACTGCATAAGTCTCCTATGGCTTCGAACAGCTTCTGGCACTAGAGATGAAGGGGCAAGCCGTACATCATCACACTTCTTTTTCCTTTCTCGGTCTTTCACTGCAAAACATCCCACTGCAAAATACCAAATATCGATGTCTAAAATAGCGCCTCCCCATCTCTTCTTCCCTATATCCAGAACCCTTCGTGCCTCAACCTCCGATGGTAGCCTAAATAGAAAGAGGCCGTCAGGTAGGGATGAAACCGTTACCCCACACGAAACCTTCCAAGACGTCGTCGCCCTCGCCTCAATCCCCTCAATACACCCCCCATCTTGATCAAAAAGGCCAACCAAACAAAATTTCAGAACAGATTCTCGTTCCGTTATGCTTTGGTGATCAACCCTAAAAACCATGTCTTTGCCGATTGTACAGCTTTTGATCTCTTTATGGGGATTGAGGCGTGAAAGAGTCGCCACATTGAGATATGACCGTAGCATATCACGAATCGCCACATTGAGATAAATTGACTGTGTTCCTTTGAGGACATTTGATTAGAACGATGACCTGGCTGCCTGAATCGATAACACTTAATGGGGTTTGGCCGATTGTAAGGATTATTTTTGGGCGCGTTCCTACTTGTTACAGGTGGTGTTATGGTTTTTTTGAGCCGAGTACTGATTCTACCTGAATCAGGCACTGCTGTAACGGAAGGCTGAGGGTACATGGGTGGTTTTGTTTTTATCATTGCAGAGCACGTCGAATTAAAGTAATTTCTGGAGCCAGCCTATGTTTTCCCCTCAAAAAATGCTTATGCCCTCATCATTGCATTCGTGGCTTCTTCTACGGTGTAGATTATCTACATTGACACACTTTTCTTGAATGGCAAATTGGAACTCGTTCAGATAACGAGTAACCCGCTGCATCTCAGTTTCCATCAAATTGTTTTGGGACGTTAACTGAATAAATTCCTCCGTACAGGCCTGAACCGTTCTACTTTCTTGCTCAATCCTGATACTTCTGGAATAGGGTCTGTTCATAATCTAGTGGCAAGAATCTGCCCTTATCAAACGCTGCATCTTCTGCCTGGAGCGTACTGGTGTCTTCCGTTGCTGTTAGCAAGAAACCTAAAATTGTTCCCACCGCTCCTCCCTTGAGCCTATACGCCACCAGTTTCACTTTCTTATCTTCTTGGATATGCATATAATCAAAGAATCTCTCAACTTCTGCCAAGTAGTCCAAGATTTCTTCTATATTAAAGTGACCATTAAAACTGTGAAAGTCCATATTCATACGAAACTCTCTAGAATCACGATCTCCTTGATCTCGATATCTTCTTGCACTTCTATGTGCCCCAAGCACCTCTTCATCGTAGTCTTCTTCATCACTGAAGTTGTCCTTGTAGGTTGGTTGTCTACGTGGCGGGATGGGGTTGTGATTCTGAAAAACACAAACATGATCTTCGTCGACGTTACACAACATGTTATTATCGTGATTCTAATTCGGACCTAACACTAGCTCAGCAAGGGTTGCTTGTATATCTTGCAACACAATTTGCTTGTAATGCCTGCCCGGTTGTCTGTTGAAAGTCCTGAAATTCGGCCCTCGAAAGTGCCTCTCCTTACCGATCTACGTTGCCATCAGCCTAGGAAAAGACAAGACTCTAATACCAACTGACGTAAGCGGAAGCTATGAATGTTTACAAAGAACGATACAACTTTGAATCCACAATGTAAGAGACAAATTCAAAGAAATTTTGATATTGTATTGATAATTGAATGAATGATTCTGCTCTCTGCATTACATATATTTATAATGAAAGAAACACTAAATCATAAGGAAACTAGCTGCAACGGGAAACCTTATAACATAAGGAAACCTAATCTCGAAAGGAAACTAACACTCGAAAATTAGCCTAAAAATAAAGTTTCTCTAAAAATTCTAAAAAAAAAAATATTGTAAGAAACTTAATCAGTAAGGACTGCTAAATATAAAAATTGAGAGCAATCCAAGTTCATTTAGACAACGAACAAAAATCCTGAAATAATCAGCAGACCTCTTATACGACTGGAAATCCCGTTTTGAGGCCCCAAACGATGGAATTTGGCCGAGAAACGGCATACATCACAGCATGGCGGTGAGTCTTTCTCGTTGGGCCGTTTCCAGTCAAAAACTCTCATTTTGGGTAAAAAACAGACACTTTGGGATTAGGCTAAAAAATCTATCAGCGTTCCCATTTGGTCCTCTGGCGATTCAAATGGGCCATATGAGTTTCGACAATCAGTTCTACATCACCAAGGAACACAATGAGGAATTGTAAAATACATATTCAAGAATGAGCAACAAAGGTTTGAAATATTTTAGTTCATGAGTAATAGGCAATTAAGGTAATACTAATATATAGGTAGTAATTCTTTTGCTCTCCACCGTGGGTTCTAGGTTTGAAGTTTACTTGATCAGGATACCTAGCCTTCTTGCTAATCTAGAGATGCCCGTCCAATCCTTCTTGCTTCTCATTTTTCAAGCTACTTTCTTTACGTCTTCCTTTGTTCTTTATGGCTTCATTTCTAAAAAAGATATGGACAATGTTTATTCATAGATGCTTTATTTATACTCTCTCTCATTTTACTCCTACTGTTTGTGAAATTTGTGAACGGTGCTTCAAATTAATATATCATTTTGAGTAGTTTAGAGTTGAATTAAAGAACTCTGTCTATTTGTATTACTAATGCTTCGTTTGTTCTTTGCATGACACTTTTTCTTTTTCCTTTTTCTTGTTAAGGATGTCTATGGTAGCGACTTATGCACTATACCAACTATTCTTAATTTTTAACATTTTAAAATTTTATTCTATTTTCAGGGTTCTTGAAGAGGAGGATGATACATGCAGAACACTTGATATTTATATCATACATTTTTTTTTTTTTTTACCTGAGAGAGAGAGAGAGCACAGACACACACACACCATATTTTTGGATAATTTCACCATAGTTCACATTTTCTTTGAACTTGTTGGGGGATGGATTTATTTATATCATTTTCAAATATAGTTTTTGGATGGACATCATGCTAACCCTTGTTAGCAGGGCTTCAATGCTTTAAAATGTGAACATTTGTAAAATGGAAATTGATGTGCAGCATCTTGTGGACATTCTATTTGCATTTTGAATAAGTAGTTTTTTTAATACTTTTCCCAGCCGTAATTATTGCTAGTGATTCCTCATTAACATTGCTTCTGGTAAAAACAAGATTTGTGTGAAATCCTTTATAGTAGGGAGATTTTATATAGAACTCAGTGATTGCACTATTTGAGCAATTTTGTGGCTTCTTAATGGCTGGACTGAGCCCAGTACTTGATACTAATGAGCTGTGAGCTTGGGTTCATACGAATAGATTTTTGCTTGAGCCTTGGGCCGGCTTGCTCCTGGAACTTATAGTATTGGTATTCAATTTCGAAAAGGTCGTTTTCCTGTTTTTGGTTCTCATTTTCATTCTGCAATATCCATACATATCCTCCATTTATTAGGAATTATCCCTATCTTTATTTTATTTCATTTTTGTTGTTTCTTACTCATTTTATGACTTTTATTTTAATTTGTGTCTTTTTCTTCATTAAAAAAAAAAAAAAAAAAAATGTTGGGAGGTTTTTTAATAATGACATTGTGATAATAATTGGTATCAGAATTTCAAAAAGTATCGCAACTTGCAATCAATTAAGGAAGGAATATCTTATCTGTACATACATGCCTAAGCATAATGTTAGTAAAATGAGAGAGTTGCTCTTTCTTTTCTTTTTTTTAATTATTGACAAACAAAACACACAACAACAACTACTGATAATTAAAAATTAAAACATATATTAGACTAAAAGAAAGCCATATGTGTAAAGGATTGTCATTGAAGGATTTAAATATTCCAGTTATATCTCTCACAGTTTAAATTTTTAGATTAAATTAGAACAAATTCACATACTTTGTTCTGGTGTAAAAAAATTCTGTCCCATTGTGCTTTAAAGCTACTCCCTTTTGTCTTTTTGGAAAATTACTAAATTGTCTTTTGAAGTTTTTAATATTTAAGTTTGAAATTCATAACTCAAAGTATATATATGGAAAGATGTAAAATATATTGTTTAAAAAAGAAAAGTGAACAATTATTTTGAAACAGATACGTATGACACTTATTTTGGGACAGAGGGAATCTTCTGATTTTCTATTATGTTTGTATTCATTTTTAATTCGATGAGACAAAACTTTGACCTCCTTGACCTGAAAAAATAAATAAATAAATTATCTTCCTTGTTAATTATATTATACAAGTTTGTCAATAGGAGCAACATTTAATGCTCCTACTAGCTTCATGTTTTTTAGCCCAAACTATATAACACTTCATGTATTAACAATGGGTGCTTTTTTTTTTTTTTTTTTCTTTTTCTTTCCGAAATAAAAACAAACTTCATTCAAGAGCAGAAACATTACAATCATAAATTCAGAGAAGCAAGAAGCCATGGGGGATAGACATCCCAATCAACTTCCCCAATTTGATTTTGAAATGCAAATCTATTTAAACAGTGAGCAACCTTATTGCAGGACCTTGGACACCAACTCAAAGCCCCGTTTAGGATGAAGCTTAAGAAGGTGTTTAATGTCAGCACAAACCATGGCAGCAAGACAATCAACCGGAGTCAAAGCAACAACCCATTTGCAGTCACCTTCAATAATAACATCTTCAGCATAACCCCATTGTAACAGAAACTTTAAACCTTCCCGAAACATCGCCGCTTCAACCGTCTTTGCATTCCCCACATGCATCACAGTAGTAGCAACCTTTACAACTCTTCTACGAGAGTCCCGCAACACAAAACCCCCACCACAGAAGATTTTCCCTGACACAAATGATGCATCAAAATTTAACTTCCAACATTCCACTATTTGGAGCAATCCACTTTTGAACCGGAGTAGAAGGGTCAGCAAGATTAGAATTTGGCAAGTCCATGGCTTTATCTTGAAAAGAAATACCTTCCAACTCATAAAAGTTAAACATAATTTTATCGAGAATTTTAGAAGGTTCCCATCTAACCCCATTAAAGCACTAAGAATTTCTGGCCTTCCATAATTGCCAACAAATAAAAGCGCCCCCAAACTTAACAAATCAGTATAATTTTCCAATTGAGACCAAAGACAATTCAAGCGGATCCACACTTGCTTCCAAGAAAATTGAGTTTACTCACCAAAATAGGACTAGCTTTCCATACAACCTTTGCAACAAGGCAGAAACAAAAAAGATGAGACGTAGTCTCCTTTCTCCCCCCGCACAAATTACATTCTACGCACTTCACTAAACCTCGAATTTTCAGATTACTCAACACAGGAAGTCTCTCGTGACAGCACTGCCACGTGAAAAATTGAATCTTCCTAAGAGTTTTTAACTTCCAAATACCCTTCCATAAAGGAATAAACTCCCTCTCAATGTTACTGCAAGACCTTCCGTCATCAGACCGGGAACAATCAACCAAGTATTAACAATGGTTGCTTTGGAAAAGTCAACAATTGCATGCTGGAAGAATTTTGGATGTAAATAACAACATACATTCTGCCTCAAGATATATAAAGAGCAAAGAGCTCAAAGTGAGCAATTGGAGGGTAATAGAGTTTAACCCTTTTGGATTTTGATATTAGTGCATTGATCTTGATTTTCTTGTGGACGTAGGCATATTATTGAACCACGTAAATCTTTACCTTCTTTTGTGTGTGTTCTCTGAAGAAAGGGAGCTCTGTAATAAGATGTTGTAAGAGCAAATTACAGTACATTTTTCTATATCTTTGTACATAACTATAAAACATTTATAAAGAGAAGAAAGACTACAAGGTATAAGAATTAGGAGAGATTTCAGGACTAGATTAAGCAAGATTTGGGAAGATCATAGGAGGAAAATCTGTTAGTAAACTCTCTAAAGATTCAGAGCAATCTTAAAGATAAATCTTTACCAGCTGTTATGGAATTAATGGAAGACTTTCCATTCTTGTTTTCTCTTGGGCACCATTGATTTTCCACATGAGCAAAATTGATTCTCATTAATTTTGCACATGTTTAATCATTCCGCAAACATATCTTTTTGATATCTTCATTTTCAGTCCCCTTCAAAAATAGGATGTGGGTGCAAACAAATGCCCAATTTGACTTTGAGATCACAGAACACCTTCGGAGCCAATGGTTTATTGAATATGTCAGCAGCTTGTTGATCTGATCGATGGCACAAACTGTGTGAGCAATGCTCCATATGCAACTTTTTCTGGCACATAATGACAGTCTTCAATATATTTAGTCCTACCATGAAAGACTCCATTCACTGACATATATCACAAAGCGCAAATGTGAGCCAAGTTAACTCAGTTGCAGTATACACCATTGACCTGTATTCAGCTTCAGCACTTAATCAGGCAACTGTAGTCTGCTTCTTAGCACACCCGGAATTACAATTGCTTCCAAGAAAAGTAGAAAACCCCGTTGTTGAACGACGAGTTAGAGGACAACCTGCCCAATCAGCATCAGGAAAAACATATAAGCCTAAAGAGCTATTAGAGTTTCACTCACATAACGCAAAATACGCTTCACAATCTGGTAACGTTTCGAAGTAGGTGCATGCATGTATTGGCACACAAAATTAACACAGTCACTTAAATAAGGTCTTGTAAAAGTAAGGTGTATTGTAAAGCTCCCACGATGGTTCTATAATGCGTGGGATCTTGGTATGGTGAATCTTCGAATGTAAAAATAAATACATTTGCTGCCATGGGTGTTGAAATGGATTTACAATCTTTCATTTGAGCAAGCTCTAGTAGTTCTCAAGCATACTTTGATTGGCAGACAAAAAGACCATTTATCTGTTAAAAATACTTCTACTCCAAGAAAATAATGAAGTTTTCCCAAGTCTTTGATAGCAAATTCACGGCTCAAACATGAAACAAACCAGTCGAAAAGACATGGACTATCACTAGTAAAAATCATATCGTCGACATATAGTAACAAAATAAGAGTACCTCTGGTTGAGTGACGAATAAAGAGAGAGGAGGGCTTAGCGATGTTGCAGAAGATATGAGCTGAGCCTATCAAACCAAGCTCTGATTTTATTTATATTAATTGCTTTAAATTATTTTATGTGTATTTAATGTTAATTATTTAATGTGATTATTTTGTATGTGTAAATTGATGTGTTAGTGTTATTAATTGTTGTGTGAATTAATGTGTTACTATTTATTAATGTTTTATTAGTGAATTATTTCTTTTGCATTGGCCGGATTTAGTATAGTGGACCATATGATTTATTAGTTGGACTATGCTATTGGATGTTTTGATGGGCTTTAATGGGATTTAAGCCCATAGAGTATATTATTATATGTATTTTACAATGTATTATTTAAACTAATTATTAGGATTAAGTTATTATATTATTATTTATATAATACATTATATACTTATAATTATATAGTTCTAGAGAGTGAACGAGAAAGAAAAAAGAGCGGCGGCAGAGAGAGGGAGGAAGGGAGAAGACGACCGAACCCCAGGGCTGCCGGCGTGAGAAGAGAACTTCAGCAAAGTGACTGCCACTTAGGCTGCCATTTTTGTGTGTCAACAATTGTTTAAAAAGGTTTGAGTATGATTTTCTCAGTGAAGATTGCAAGTAGTGATTAAACACCAAATTTCATTTAACCCATAAAATAATAATCTAATAATAATAATAATAATTCACTTACCTCAAGCCCAAACCTGACTTTGGGTATTTGAAACACTCAAATCTATAATCTTATCTCAAATACCCAAATCAAACTAAAATCTTTGTAGCCTCAAGACGTTGTTAGTGGAGGTCGAGATTGAATAGCAAAGAGAGAATGCGAATTGTTTTCTTTGATGTAGAGAGAATCTCTATGAGTATTGATGAATGAGAGAGAATGAAATGTAGGGGTTCTTTAGTGAAATAGAGTGAAGATTGAGATAGGGAGGAGAGAAATTGAGAGGGAGAAGCTAGGGAAATTTTGGTAAGAAATTTCTACATAAAACTTGTTAACTTGGCATTTGAGTTGAACGATATAGTATTTTTTTTTTTTAATTGGTACTCACACGTACTTGTTCGTTGATAACGATGTACCATTATTAAGTGCTTTAGAAGATAAAGTGTTCTTTTTATATCCCTTAGATTTAGCTCCAG